CCTTTTCCTTTTCTCCTTTTTTTTCCTCAATGTTTTGTTCCTCTTTTCTTCCTCTTTTCTTCCTCTTTTGTTTTTTCTCTCTCTTTGCTTTTTATGTTTTTCTTTCTTTTTTTCCCACTTCTTCTCTCTTTTCCTTTTCTTTTTCCCTGTTTTTTTTCTCTTCCTATTTACCTGTTTCCTCTCTTCTTCCCTTTTCCTTCCTCTTTGCTTCTTGCTCCTCCCCCCCTCCCCCCACAGCCTCTTCCCCACACCCCTTCACTCCCCCCCACCTTTTCTCCCCCTTTTTTTCGGGGCTCCCAAAATTCCTCCCATGCCCTGGGGGTCTGGAGGCCACGTTGAGGGTCCCCCTGGGGGTCCTCCTGTCCCCCCTAAGGGGCTGGAGGTCACACTGAGGATCCCCCTGAACTCTGGAGACCCTGGGGAGGGTCCCCCTGGGACTGGGGGCCACACTGAGGAGTCTCCTGGGGGTCTGAAGGCCCCAATGAGGGTCCCCCCGGGGGTTTGGGGGTCCCCCTGAGCCCGTCCCAGGAGCTGGGGGCCCTGGTGAGGGTCCCCCCAGGGGGGTTCTGGGTTTTCTCTGGGGGTGTGAAGGCCCTGGTGAGGGTCCCCCTGAGGTTTTGGGGGTCCTCTGGGGTTCTGAAGGCCCCAATGAGGGTCCCCCCGGGGGTTTGGGGGTCCCCCCAGCAGCGTGAACGCCCTGCTGAGGGTCCCTCCAGGGTTTTGGGGGTCTCCCCTGAGCCCCTCCCAGGAGCTGGGGACCCTGGTGAGGGTCCCCCCCGGGGCTTTTGGGGTCCCCCCAGGGCTTTTGGGGTCCCCTCGGGAGTGTGAAGACCCCGCTGAGGGTCCCCCCGGGGCGTTGGGGGTCTCCCTGGGGCTGTGAAGGCCCCGCTGAGGGTCCCCCCAGGGCTGGGGGGTCCCCCCGACCCCCCTTTGGCGCTCGGGAGGGCTGGTTAGCCAGAGACGGGTAAGATCCCTCGGGGAGGGACAACCTAAGACAGGCACAGCCGTGAGCGGCCACACGCCCGCCTGGGGGGGCCCCCCGGGGCAGCCCCCGCCCCAAAACACCCCCAGGAAACCCCAAAAAACACCCCCGGGACACCCCCGA